ATTAGTGAACTTCAAGAAGTTTGTTTATTAAATCATTAACAAAACCACAACCTCTTTTAATTTTACGATCACTTTCAATACGTCCCCTCCAACAAACCAGATATTGCCTGTCACATAAAATGTGGGACACCCGGTATACCTTTATATACCAACCTCGAGTTGGGTGTTCCACAAGGTTCCTCTCGAATGTCATGAAAAATGCAAAAAGTTTAGCTCCATAAGAAAATACATGGGATTTTGTGCTCGGACCCAGTTTGTTCACCTACTCATTTGAATTTTCCGCTGTACGCGCGGTAGCTTCTGATTGGTCGACTGTATGACGGCAAAAGTGAAAGAGTGGGCTCCTATAGCTATATTACTTAGCATAGTCTTTCTCAAAGTGGGCGATAACGCCCCCTTGTGGGTGCTGGAGGCCTATAGAGGGGGCAGTAAAGGGCACAGAGAAGATTGGGAGGCGTTGAAGCGGTTGGGGAGGGGCGATGGCTAATTTAAAAAAGTTTTTTTCTTTGCTTTTAACACAAACTTTACCGCTCCTTTACGCTTAACGCGTGTTTCCTCGTGTAACGCCATCTAGGGGACTAGACAGTAACTATTTCCTGTCCGATAGTTGTCAAACTGTACAAAAGATGGCGGTAAGCTTCAATGCGAAGTGAGAAGTTTCCATTCTCGAAAGTACTAGGCCCGCCCGCTGCCTCATATAAAAGCGCGTGCGCCATCCAGCCAGTAATGTCCTTCGATGATATTATGAACACAAGTGAATTTAGTTAGCGACTAGCTAGGTAAAGTGCTGTACGTGCGGTGGTGAATACTGTGAGTGGTGTCATTAGCAAGTTTTTATTACTCGATTCTTTACTTCGGCATTTTTTAAGACAAAATTATGTCTGAAGCGAAAAAGAAGAAACGGCAGTATAGCGCGGAATATGTAAAATATGGATTTATCGAAAATCCCACAAATCCAACTTCGCCTATGTGCCTTCTATGTCAATAAACATTTTTGAATGAAGCGATGAAACCCTCAAGGATAAAAGATCATTTGAATAAAATGCATTAAGATAAAAAAGACAAAAGTCTGACTTATTTTCAAAAACTGGAAAAAAACACTCAGCTCAGCAGCGGATATCATCCAAAATATTCCTTTGAGCAATAGTTCCGTGCAAAGACGAATTGATGAGATGGCTGAAAACATTGAAGAGTCATTGTGCAATCATCTGAAGACTTCTAAATTCTCAATTCAGTTAGATGAGTCCACTTTACCAATCAATGAAGCATTGTTGTTGTCATACGTGAGGTTTATTAAAAATGAGAAAATATATCAAGAACTTGGTTTTGTCTATTTGAGTCGAATTTTGTGTGAAAACTTAAATTAAATTCTCAAAAACACTTGATGTGTTGACAGTGGCATACGGTGAGTGTACTCCGAGTCAGAAGAATATTTACAAGTGGTACAAGTTTTTCACAGAAGGTCGAGAAGATGTGAATGACGAAAACTTTTAATTCTTGGTTGAAACCCAACCGCAACGCAAATTCCCATTGTTAGATCTAACCTTCACATTTTCTGTTGAGTTTTGGTAATATGGTAAAAATGTATCTGCAAGGGGTTAAAAAAACGTTTGGGAGCCTCTGATCTAACATATGTTGATACATTATTTGCTGATCATCTGCTATGGAAAAATTATTCACCTCAAGTGAATCGAATCATCTTTTGTTTGAAACTGAAAAAAAAACAATTAACTGACATTCAAGTGCTCTTCACAAAATCTGACAATTCAGAAATAATAGAAAATAAAACCTGTGCCAAATCTTTAGAAATCCTAATTGACAATGAATGCAAATTCAATATACATTTGACAATATTTCAAAAAAGTTGTCTTTTGGTTCTATGCAGTTAAGATGATATGATAAGGGTATTCTATAGCTAAAATAGTGTATCACTAGGTATTTGAAACTCACTTGAGCTGTGGGATTTCATTTTGGGGTAGCTGCAGCAACTATCTATTCAACAACATATTAAATTTGTAAAAAATATCTTTGAGATATATGTATGATGATGAATATAACAAACCATGTAAGTCACTATTCAAATCCCACAAAAATATCAACTGCAGAATCATTATATATCTTAGAAAAGGTATTGATTTAAATGGACTTATTTACTCACTTACTTGAGTACAAATATATTTTGGAACATCGTTATGTATCATCTCGTGCCTACTCAATAGAGACTGCTTTGAGAATGATTTCTTGCACACGCTGCAAGGATATAAGTTCAATGGATTGTGAGTTTTGAAATGCTTCTGGAGATCATGCTTCGTGAAAAATTTTTTCTTGCACTCTGGACAAGTGAAAGAACGTTCCCTCTTATGTATGGAAACGTGAAGATCCAAAAGCTGCTTGAGAGGAAAAGATCTTTCGCAGTGAGGGCAGGGAAAACAATCAGTTTTGACCAGATCAACACGAGCAAGTCTGTTGGCATAACTTTCGTTGTCCTCTTCCTCTTCCTCTTCATCATTGCTATCCAAAGTTCGCACCCCTTCTTCATATCCTTCTTCCTCGTCATTTAGTTCAGTCCCACCCTCAGCACTGATTTCATCTTCGTTCATAATCGAATGTTGAGCCACTTGATTGTCCTGTTCATTAGATCCCGATTTGGTAGAAGGTTTCTTTGGTAAATAGACTCCTTTCAGGTTATTAACTATGTGAGGCTTTGATAGTTGCCCAGTAGCAAGAAAAAGTCTCAATGCGTCGTCTGCTTTCTTGCAATTCGTTTTGAAATTATAAGCTTGAATCGTGAGGCTACGACAAGTGTTGCAAATGAGCTGAGGCATTCCATCATTTCTGAATACTTCAATGGCAATGCATGCCATAATCTGAAGGGGTAACGGGACAGATTTTATATCTGGCTCATACGTAACTTTATCGTGAATGCCGGACAACTCGGCATCTTCAGAAAGACAGAAACGACAAATTTTCATCTGCCTGAGAATATTGGTTCTGTCGTCCATAGTAACCAGCTTGCTTTGTTTTTTACCACTCAATCTCTCTTTATCATCATTGAAAAATCGTCTTTTCTTTGAAATTCAGAAATATTCCTTTCACACAAACCACATTTCCATTAATATTTATTTTTCAAACATCTTTTAACATAAATATTTTGAGAAACAAACTTAAATGTCAAAAAACTGTCAACTGTCACCTCACAAGCCAAAATCACAGAACAGTTAACAATCAGAATGAACGCTCGAGGCTTAGACAAGGAAAGATATATCTAAGGCTCGAGGCGACGCCTAAAATCAAATGAAGCCAATTTCGATGACCTTTGATATTTAGTGGGGACGACAAAGCGTTATTGATATCAAACAGACATTATAGGCATGTCGAGTTCATGGATTCGAATAGTTTGAAAGAAAATATCGAATCTCACACTCTTTTGTGACTCAGACCGTACTTTATCTCTCACATCGAACAATAAACTATCTTTACCAATAAACCAAGGACTTTTCCCAATCAACAGAACTGCAATACTGAAGATGAATTATCTTGCAGTTGCAGTGCCTGTTTCGAATTCATTTCATTATCAGAATTTCCGTTTGACGGCTTCAACCAATGAGAAACTCATCCTGAGAAGATGGCGGCCTGTTTTTGCGCAAGAGAAACACTGCAGTTTGCCCGCTCTGACGATTGTCATTCTGACTGTTTATTTTTATATCATGAGTCACAAAACTCCAAAGATTCAAAAGGATGGAGTGGCTGAAACTGTAACATCATTTTCACATTGCACCTAAACTATATGCATTCAACAAACAGAGTAACCCAAATAAAGATTGATGCGTACTCAAAGTATGATCACCATGCACATTTGTATCTTTTGAATAAAATAAACAAGCCGCCTTACGCTGGCCAATCAGATTTAACTGCAATCGGCCTGCAAAATTCATTGTTACAGTGTCGAAGTCGAAGTAGTCAGTTACGTTCCAACCCCTATGGTGTGTACATATATAATATTGTATAATGTTGAACACATTAGACAGTGAAGATTGAATTCTGCGGTCGATAAGTTACATTATCGAAACAACTGTATACATGCGCATAGAAAAAGTGAAAGTATTCAGGAATCTGCCAACGCTTGAAAAGCTTGTTATTATTATTTGAAAAGATTTGTGATGCACTGTTTGGAACCCTTAATATAGTGTAATGAATTTACCTGGAGTTTTATCCCACCAGCAAACCTTTACTTCAACACTTCGACACGTGTTTTGATCACCAAGTGAACAATCATCAAGAGAAAGATTAAACAGTGATCATCTTCCTCTTGAAGATGATCATTTGGTGATCACAATACGTATCGAGGTGTTGAAATAACGGTTAGGTGTTGGGATAAAACTACAGTAATATTAATTTGAAAAGTTGTTGGTGTTTTCTTCACAATAAAGAACATATATAGAATGAAAACGGAAGTAGTCGAGTCTAAACAAATAATGAGATATCGATTCAGCTTGTCTATCATTCAGTTACAATCAGCTTCACTGCAGGAGGTATATGGGTTCTGTAAGATTGAACGACTGTATCAATCTTAGTCATCCCAACAACAACAAATCGTTTATTGAGGACAGTTTACAAAAAATAGTTTTAATTTTCATATCATATAACCACATCTTCATGAATGATAATTTTATGAACACTGAACCTCTTATGGAAACTTTTAGTAATTTTCAGAGAATTGGAAAGTTGAAATGAATTATTACAGGTATTCATATCTGAAACTGAAACCAATGAAAAAAAAGATAGCTCTGGATTTATATTCCTATATGTAGTTTCATGATTGAAACCCTATTCTCAATGAAGTTTAAATATATTTCAACTTCTTATTTGCATAATTCGGAACAGTCATTTTATTCGCAAAATTTGACCCCTCATGGGTATGTGGTAGTAACATAAGTAACATAACTACATAAAAAATGGTGAATATAACTGATAAACACCAATACATTCAAAATTCACTCACTCAGGAGGTTCACCACATTGGGATTGTACTAAAGGAACACCTAAATCTTTCACCTTTGCTTCTGAAATTGAAACTAATGACTACCTAGAAAACAAATTTTACACTCTAGAAGGAATGAAAAGAAATTTTCCGACAAAACGACAAAAACCTTTTATAAAAAACACCTCACCGCTGAAAAACATTGCCTGGCCTACGGCCTATGTGAATTGGATCACTTGTGTAAAAAAAATAATAAGAAATAGAATTATCGTAGTTAGGTTAGCTTGTCATTGGTAATTTGAAAAATTAAAAATGTATCTTGGTTTCTTTTAATTTAATTGTTGCCTTGTGAAGTGTTAGAGTATATGTATGTTCATGTAACTTTTTGCGGTGTTCGAGATTAATTATATGTGTTTCAGTCATTGGGGTGAGTTGGTTATGTCATATAATAACTCTTATATAACCTAGAAATTTTATTTTAAGAGTATTGGAAAAGTCGATATTATATAATTAAAATTCAGTTTCCACATCTAATATGTGATTCAGTATATAGTGGATCTCAATATTTGGTGCATCAATAACTGTTGCATATTTTTCATTCGGTTTGTTATTGCCATGAAACTTCCATTTTTGATAGGCTCATCATATCTTTCAAGTTTTTGTCTTTGTACAGATGAAAATCCTTCAATATTCACATTATTCCTACTTGTATCATAATGATTATATCTTAGACGTGTACAGTGCTAGTAATCGCACATAAAAATTTTAGACCTCGTTAATTATTAGCTTGCACAAAATTCGGACCTTTTTTTGTAAACCAGATGAGAAGGTCGGACAAAGTTTTCGTAAAATGGTATACTTTTTTGATAAGGCAGTTGAGAGCTTTGCTTATAGAGACGCCTGAAGAAACTATTGTATAGCGAAACTGGTGTTGCGTTCGAAACAACTACCTTTATATGATATGAACAATGAATAAAACAAAAAAATAACCCTTTGAAATTAATTACTTCCTTCCTTCCTTTGGAAGTTTCCACATTTTTTGTATAAAAACGGAGAAGTAGAAATCCAAAACACATCATTTTTATACATACTAGTTCTTGTACCGAATAGTCAGCTTTAAGTTAATTTAGGGGGTCCAATCCCAAATCAGTTCAAAGGTGGTATCCAATATTTTTATCTCCAAACCATAATTATCTATGATAGTCTGTTTCAGGGGTTAGTTAGAATTGAAACCAAAATGGACAGAAAAGCATACATGAATATGAATGACTGTTCAAGAAATGGTAATGAAATGGCATGAAATAAACAATTTCGAAGGTGTTTGATCTTTCATAACCGTCTGTACAGGCTGGGCCAAAATGGACACTTTCAAAGGGAATCTGTTTTAAAACTAGATAGATGAAAACTGATGGCTGTGTATGAGGGTCAAATTTCATGACAAAATTTAATGGTGAAAACTGCATATCGATATTTATCATACTTTCTGAGTTACAGCATGTTTTTCGAAAAGTTGCTGTGACTTTTTTCCTGTTTAAATTTCATTTATATGAAAACATTTCCTCAGCAATTTTTCACGTAGAATTCAATGGTGTAAAAAACTCATTTTTAAAAATGAGATATCAATAGTTATTGATGGAAAACTATTTTTTCAATGAGCACCCTCTGTTTTTCACAGCAGTAATTAAAACGCATATTTTCAATAAAACTGATAACAGTTTATACTATATTTACTAGTAATAGATCAAGCTTTTACAATAATAGTAATAATAATGATAAAGAACAAACAATGAAATATATTTCTTCAGAGAAGGTGTTTGAAGTATCTACCAGCTTCTCATACACACAGGCGACACCTTTTCTGAACGTTTTTTGCCGAATTAATCAGTTCAATAAGGTTAGGTTAGGTTAGGTCCAAAGTGAGTGGGTCTATTCGACCCTCCACCGCAACCCGCAAGGGTTTATTGTGGCGCACACCTATTCTCACTCGGCAAAACAAACCCAGCTTCTTAACGAACCCGATTAGTTTGTAAGGTGAGTGGTCTTTCAGGTCAAATGGTAAGAGTACGGCTTTGCCGATCTCTAAAGACCTGATTCGGTCCCCAGCAGGGCAGGCACAAAGTATATGCTCTGTTAATGAGGTAGTCGGATAGTCAAGTTGCAAGATTCCCACCTTGATAGGAGTGAGAGAAGCAAAACTTTGTATCACTGTCGCCTCCGATTCGTATGTAGAATTGGTCGGCAATTTGAAAATAGTAACGAATCTGTAGTCGCCCCTGAACGATATGCCGGCTGACTCATCGAATAAACACATGAAATCACCGCGAAAGAATGCAGTCGGGAATCGCCGGTAAAACTAGAACCGAACCGACTACCGGATTTCTAGAAAGGACCGTTACTGATATAAGCCTGGCTTCCCTACCCAAGAGGGCAGTTCAGAAAGTGAATCGAGCGGCTAAACAAGAAATTCAAATAGTGGAAATAAATTAAGTGTTAGTATATTGAACACATANTTAATTAGGTTGTGATTAGTGAAAAATTGTTGGAAATAAATTTGTTTAAGACAGCTAATTCATTAATTTGTCACAATAAGATACTTAATCAAAGTGTGCGTTTCAAAGCCTACACGAAAAGAACTAAAAGATAACTCTAGCAGAACATCAAGTGTGCTACGTTTTTGGGAAAGTTAATTTTGAGTTCTATTGAAATATGCAGGAATATAAAGGGTGTCTCATTAAAAAAAGTTTTCCATCATCAACTATTGATATTTCATTTAAAAAAATAAGTTCACACCAATGAATTCTAGGTAAAAAAGTGCTTTGGAAATGTTGTCATAGAAACAAGAACTTTTTGACAAGAAAGAAGTTAAAGCAATTTCTCGAAAATGCACATTTCAATTGTATCCGCAATAAAATTGCTAAATAACTATTTTTCTTTGGTCGTGTAAACAGTTGTTTACTGTTTCAGACTTCCATTACAGTTTTCAAATCAATTATTCAACCACATTTCGATTACTGCGCTACTTTACTATCACAACTTGATGCAAATTGTTTGTCTACATTGCAAAAACTACAGAATAGAGTCATGCGCCTAATTTTAAGATGTAATAGATATAGGTACGCCAACTACAACAATGTTGGAAGTTCTGGATTGGCTTTCTGTGAAAGACCGTCTATTCTATCTTACCATGGTATTCATCTTCAAAGTATTGTC